CCCCAGCAAAACTTTGTTAGACAATCAATCACATTACAAACAGATAATATAATGAACTATTTATCTTACTTACCGTACTAAATATTTTAACATTCTAAACACTAGCTATTCACACCATTTAACAAAATTACACATAATCTTGAATCCCCATTCCATCCTAGAAAGTTACCGACCAAACATCTGAGCAATCTAGATTATTTCCCAAATTATACAACTTTTCATTTAGTCCATTGGCGTATTTTAACAAAGGTTTCCAAGTTTCAAAAAACTGGCTGTGCTTTATTTCTCCTCTGTATTCTTGTCTTAGTGGTTAACTTCTCCATCAAGAGTGTTTGCCATGTCCTGTTCAAAAATGTATGTAATGAAAGAGATCTTGAGTGTTTCTGCAATTTTAAGCAATCTCACACCTTGATGTCCCTATAATATTTGCAATTAAGTCTTTATTAAGTAGCTTCTCATTTCCCCCTGTAAATGCTGAAAAGAATAGTAATGTTTCATTTGGATTAGTGGTTAACTTCTCCATCAAGAGTGTTTGCCATGTCCTGTTCAAAAATGTATGTAATGAAAGAGATCTTGAGTGTTTCTGCAATTTTAAGCAATCTCACACCTTGATGTCCCTATAATATTTGCAATTAAGTCTTTATTAAGTAGCTTCTCATTTCCCCCTGTAAATGCTGAAAAGAATAGTAATGTTTCATTTGGAATTTTTTTTATGCTGAAAATAATAGTAATGTTTCATTTGGGATTTTTTTTATTAGTCAGTATTTCTTTCCAATTGATTACGTCATGCCAAAATGCCTCTATTTGGGGGCAAAAAAACAACAATACATGTTCCCTTTTGTCCACATTTTCTCTAGCTCTTATCTGATATATCCTTATTGATTTTATGTAGCTTTGTAAGGTATAGGTGCCATCTGTGAACAACTTTCAGAATCATTTCTTTCGTTTTTTTTATTAGTCAGTATTTCTTTCCAATTGATTACGTCATGCCAAAATGCCTCTATTTGGGGGCAAAAAAACAACAATACATGTTCCCTTTTGTCCACATTTTCTCTAGCTCTTATCTGATATATCCTTATTGATTTTATGTAGCTTTGTAAGGTATAGGTGCCATCTGTGAACAACTTTCAGAATCACTTCTTTCATTTTAGCTGATACTGATTTACATGGATATTTATTCCACATTTCTGTCCAAACCTCTTTAGGCATATTAATATTTAAATTAGTTTCCTTCCTATTTCTTAACTAGTTCAGACCTGATGATGATCTTGCATACCTGGCTAGTGCTTTCTAGTGCTTAGTATATCGGCTAACATTAGAATGGCCCAGAGGAAGGATGTTGGAGGGTTCACTGGGCTACCGCTAGGAGATATCAGAAAGTAATTTGCTTCTAAGCAGTTGTAGGTAATAAAGGCAGAATGCAGGTGATTTCTTATTGAGATTTATAGGCATCTCTTTTCATGGAAGGTATTCGTGTGTAACATCTCACTGATTGCACTATCTACATTCTGGCAAACTCCATTGTTCAGAGTTAAATTTCTTATAATTTTCTATGTCTTGAGAAGTTTATTTGATCCTCAGATCAGTCAGACCTTGTTTTTCCCATTTTTTCTGGTTTAAGCCTGCCTCTTCTGGACTGTGGTCTCCATGATCTCCCTTCTGAATAGATTCCCAGTTGTCACTCACATCTTTCTGCAATACAGGCACATGTGCACCTTGTCAACTGGTAACGCTAGTCTTTAAAAAGTAGTTTTTCCAAGCTTGGTGTGAAACCCATTTGGAGTTGAGTATACTATTCAGATCCTATTTAGACATTACTAACTCTAAATGCATCTTTAGGGACAAGACTCTGTGATCCTCAATTGCTCTTGGGGCTTCAGAGGGGTCCCCTCCCTCCATCTTAACATCCACCCAAACAGCAAACAACAGAGAAACTTCACCCAGATTTACTGAAACTGGAGAGGGGTGGGAGATAATAAACTACTGTAATTAGAATGTGCAACTTCATTTCTAGTGGTGGGCTCCGTGTCTCTTGCTCTCTTCGACCAGTCTCTAGTTCCCTTCACCAGGATGGTCGTCATCTTGTAGGAGACCCTGGTTCCTCTCACAGAGTCCCAGTCTGCACCCCTAGTTCAGCCTCACAACTGGACTTGCTCTCAGTCAGTTTCATCTTCCCGATGAAGGAAGAGGGAAGGCTGATATGCCCACACCAAGGACATGTATGGCAAGCCTCTTCCATCATTGCTCCAGCCCTTTTCTCCCCTTGGCATGGGCAGTTGCAGTCATTTTCCCCTGCCAGCATCCATCATGGTAAGAAATAGGACTCCTCCTTTCCTTTCTCTCTCATTCTCCCCAATATGAGGATTGTGGGGGCTGCTTGTGTTCACACGTGAAGGCTTCCCCTTTCTGGCACATCAACAACCCAAACTCCTTGCCAGAGATCCTCCTAATAGATATATATTTCCATCCCCTGGGACCTCTTTCTCAGAGGACATCTCAACCCAGCAATTACCAGACCACTCCTTTTAGGTCTTTCCCCACTGCTTGTTCCCCATGCCACTGGTTCAGTGTCCTCCTCAGTTTGGGCTGTGCTTCCTTAGATGGCTTAGTCAACTGCCCCAAAACCACCTTTTACCCCTTCTTCTTGCCTAAGAGTTGTCTTTCTGTCCTTTAGGTGTTCTTTCTCCACAGGGTTATTCCACACACACACACACACACACACACACACACACACACACACACACACTCAGCTGTCTCTTTCTCTCACCTTTCTCTCTCACACACACACACACCCTCAGCTGTCTCTTTCTCTCACCTTTCTCTCTCACACACACACACCCCCTCAGCTGTCTCTTTCTCTCACCTTTCACACACACACACACACACCCACACACACACACACACATCCTCAGCTGTCTCTTTCTCTCACCTTTCACCTTTCCTGACAGTAAAGCCTTCTTTATACCTCCTGTCTACCAAAGGTAGGCTTTTCCCCATCAGCTTCTCAGAGGCTGTCTCCAAGCTCCCGGCACTTTGTTTCAGGTGAAGACAGCTGAGCAGAAGCTTCGTATCCTGAGTCAGAGCGCAATGGCTCACTGATAGGGGTTGCCGTGACCCTGTCATCCTCACAGACTGAATGTGCGGCACCATTACAGTCCAAACTGCTTCTTAAAATTAGTAATGGCTAAATTTTCAGACAGGCTTTTGGAGGTCTTTACAGCTTATCAGCTAGCACAAGTGCCCTTTCTAGTGACTGATTGACTGGATTTCAGATTATAAATAAACCATAATGTGCAACTAAAAGGCCAATGTGCACAAACAGGCAGTCAAACTGTGAAACTGTTGTAAGCTATAAAGTATGTGTGATTATCTACTAATGGGCTTGCACAGCTTTGGAAGTAGCAAGCTACCTTGCTTTTGGTCACTGGGGGGAAACAATGGGCGAAATGTATATGCTGATTTTGAAATATGGCAGCATTGAAGGGATTGACACACTACCCTTTCCATTTATAAGGCTGTCTAATAGCCTCTTTCAGACATGAATCAAGCAGTTTGAAGAACGTGCTGTGATCCAGCAGGATCTCTGTACCAGTGCTGCATGAAGATGGGACTGGAACTCTGGAAGTTGAGTCATAGCTACTGGACTCCTTTCTTATTAGGTAGAAACGTTTTGCTACTCATCCGAGTAGCTTCTTCAATCTGAGGAGAGTTGGTAGGAGACCCCTGATATATCCTCCATGTTAGTTTCACTGCCCAAGGTTCATTAGAAGGACAAAGGACAATTGTCCTAGATTGTTAACAGTAGTGCTCTTCTTTCTGGTGTGTGTCGTCCTAATCTTTCTGGGGATAGATGAAAGCATGATCAGTAGAGACAGATTGTATCAAAGGCCTCCACCCCTGTTGAGTGAGGGATTTTCTATATGTACATGTATGGCCTCCCTGACCCCTCTCTCAAACCACCTATCTCCTCTGTCCAAAATGAGTACATCTTGGTCATGAGATGAGTGTCCTTTGCCCTTCAAATGAAGGAACATGGCTGATTGTGGTCCTGATATGTTACCCCTCCTGTGCTGGGCCATTCTCCTGTTTAGTGGCTGCTTGGTTTCTCCAATGCAACTCCAAACTTTAGACAAGTGTGAGGTGAGAGAGGGCAAATTTTACTTTCTCCTTAGCTACCACGTCCCCCCACTTAGTTGTCAGCTGTCCCTGGTCTCCCTCCACAATGCTGTTCCAGACGTCTGTTGGTCCTTAAAATGCAGATTGTAAAACCCTATGGTAATAATTGCTGGAGGGCAGAGGTTGAAAGTCCAGTTCCCCACTCTGCCTCCTGGGAGAAGAGCCAACCTGTGTAACCTTGGGCAGGCTGCACAATTCCAGAATAGCCTCTGCTAGAAAAGCTGGGAAAGGCTTGACATACATCAGAACTGACCTGATCAATTCCAGAATAGCCTCTGCTAGAAAAGCCGGGAAAGGCTTGACATACGTCAGAATTGACCTGATAGCAAATCATCTTAGAACTGCAGAGCTGGAAGGGACCCTATGGATCATCAAGTCCAGTCCCTGTCAAGAAGGCACAGTGGGGAACTGAACTCTCAGCCACCAGCTCTGCAACCAGAGACCTACTAAGCTATCCAGCACTTCTGGTAGTACATGTAAACCACTAAGCTATCCAGCAGTTCTGGTAGTACAGTACATGTTCCTAAGATAAGAGAAGTAGTAGGTGGAGGAATAGATTCAGAAACAATGGGTATCTTCCTCCATCCCTTCTGCACTCACATTTTCTCCCTGTTGGAGTGGACCTTTAAAGACAGGCTTGCTGGGTTCTGAGATCATGGTTACAAGTGCAATGAATTCTTAAACCTACATACAGCCATCCCTAAGAGCCACATGGACTCAAGACAAAAGGTGTTGTCATTCAGCATACCGGGAAAGCAGGAAATTCTGGAAAGCTAGTTTGGTCTATTTCCCAGCTCGTAGCAGACAGCAAAACAAGACATTTGCAAGTTCTAATTTTTTATTATGATTTCCTTCAAGAAAGATACAAGAGATCAAATGAATATGGGGGTGGGGGAAGCAGAGCTGTTCATCATTGATGGAGGCTTCAGCTGTGAGCACAATCTATGCAGTTGAAGGGGGAAGAGTACCACTTCCTCTGCAGAGCAGGAGGAGGCTCCGTTTGCCTAGCACTTATCAAGCATACGATGGGGAGTATATTTACAAATATAGGGGCTAGGGATGTCACAATCTTTGGTGCCCCATCTGAGGAAACCTGGTGGAAGAAAAAGAGGAGGTACATAGTCACGGTGTCAGGCTAATGGTGTATTTCATAACTGTGCCATCTTTGGGGTTATATCCAGCCATTAGCAGGCTTCCATCTATTAGAATGATGCTGTCCTGATGACTTTAAAGATGTCTTCACCCAAAACAACAACAAGCCTTGTGGCACTTGGTACAACTTAAAAATGTTATTGTGGCAAAAGCTTTCATGAACAACAGCCTACCAACAGATTCATGGTGTGTTGCCTCCATTGACAACAGATGATTATACCAATATTTACATATGCTTATATAATAGAAATACAAATATTAATCAGTTGGCTTCCTATCCCTTTGAGAGGAGGTCTTGAGGGCCTGTATTGTGTGTTGGGCTTGCGAGACAGATTAGGGATTCTGTTGGTGTACCGTCCACCCTGCTGCGTACCAACAGTCTCCCTGCCTGAGCTGACGGCGGTAGTCTCGGACCTGGTGTTGAGGACTCCCAGGCTGTTGGTGCTGTGGGACCTCAACATTCATGCCAAGGCTCCCTTGACTTTTTCTTCCGCCAGGGGCGGCTCAGGACTTCATGGACACCATGACAACCATGGGGCTGTCTCATTGTGTCATCGGCCCGACGCATGAGAAGGGCCATTCCTTGGACCTGGTTTTCTCAATGAGACTGGAAGATGGTGCTTTGGATGTGGAGGGGCTGGCCGTGACCCCATTGTCATGGTCAGACCACTTTCTGGTCAAGTTTAGTCTATTAGCTTCTTCTCCCCTCTGCAAGGGTGGATGATCTATTATGATGATCTGCCCTCAAAGACTAATGGATCCAGATGGATTCCTGAATGCTCTGGAGGATTATCCGTCTGACATGGTCGGTGCTCCTGTCAAAGCTCAGGTCACCCTTTGGAATAGGGAGATGACCCGGGCAGTTGACACGATTGCGCCTAAGCACCCTCTCCCTGCACGCAGAGCCCAGACAGCATCCTGTTATACTTCTGAACTGCGGGCGAGGAAGCAAGAGGGGAGACGGCTGGAGCGCAGGTGGAGGAAATCCTGCTGGGAGTCCGATCGAACATGACTTAGAGCCCATTCTCGGGCCAATTTCGTGGCATACGGCTGGCAAAATGGCAATATTTCTCAGCCGTATTGCTTCCTCAGAATGTCGTTCAGCAGAGTTGTTTCAGGTGGTCCGGGATCTTCTTCAACCGGGAAATCCGGTGGAGGTCCCGGACTGCTCATCAGCTCGTTGTGATGAGTTTGCCATCCATTTTGAGGGGGAAATCGCTCAGAT